AAGGCGTTATCAAAGGGTTAACTGTGTGCCTAACAAGTGTACTGCGTGTGATATGTGCTGCTTTGACTGAAGAGATTTGGCAGTTTTGTTTTTTTCTATCAGAGACCTGGGTTGATTGTAGACACAAAGTTCTGTGCTGTGTTTGAACACAGCCAATCAGCAGGCCTCCTCCATAAATCATTGGCCAGGACCTACAGACAAAATCCTGTTGTGTCCAACCGTAGCATAGGTTATCAGGAGATAAACCTGTAAGCAGGCTTGCAACATTTATTTACTTTAAGCCTGCAGCTGCCTCCCTGTCACAGTAAATCTATTGTGATGGGACAGCAAATGATTAAAGCGGAACTATACTCACCTCAGTTCTAGCAATGCGGCGTCCCTCTGCTATCCGCCCGGATGATTACATCTTCAAGCGGCCAACTTCCAGGTCCAAATCTCCGGCTTCTGTCATTGCCAGGGCAGGGATGACGTCACTTCAGCGTATGCACAGGAGTTCAGTCAAATTTAGTATTGCTGAATTTGTACAGTGAGCAGCACATGCACGGCTCACTGTACAGGGCAGGCAGGCAGGTAAGTAACTTTAACTGCTTCCCGACCTCCCTATAGCAGAAATACTGCTACAGGGTGGCATGGGTGCTCAAAATCACATATATATAGATCATATTCTGCTTGGGCAGAAGGGCATGTTCCAGTTCTGTCAGCAGTATTCTTTCCAGGGATAGAGAATTGTCAGGCAGACTACCTCAGTCGTCATTGGTTGATGCCAGGGGAATGGCTCTCTGCAATCTGCCAGCATTGGGGGTACCCCATCGTAAATCTATTGGTGCCCAGGTTCAACAGTAAGTTGGACAGGTTTGTGTCCAGGACGCGGGACCCTCTTGCGATAGGGGTAGATGCATTGGTGATACCATGAGATCAGTTTTTCCTACTCTATGCCTTTCCCCCGTTTCAGCTACTCCTGCGGCTATTACGCAAGATTCAAGGTAAATCCGGTGATATTAGTGGCACCAGCCTGGCCCAGGAGATGTCGGTACGTGGACATTGTCAGGCTAGCAGTGGGCAATCCATGGCCTCTGCCAGATCGGTCAGACCTGCTGTCTCAGGGACCTATATTACACCCAGCTTTACGGTTGCTGAATTTGACGGAATAGACCCAAATCTTGAAAGATAGGGGAGTGTCAGATTCAGTTATCCACACAATGTTGAACGTTAGGAAGCTGTTTTCCAAGAACATTTATTATAGAATTTAGAAGGCATTATTTCTTGGTGTGATGGTCAAAATTAGCAACCCCAGAAATATTTGATTGGGAGAATTTTCTCTTTTCTCCAATCAGGAGTAGAAAAGAAGTTGGCTGTTGGTACTATTAAGGGTCAGGTTTCAGCCTTGACTGTTTTCTTCGAAAGACTGATTACTTCTCACTCTTTGGTTTGCTCTTTTTATGTGAGTGATGTGTACTGTTCCTCCTATCAGACAACCCCTGTGTCCTTGGGAATTTAACTTGGTGTTGGCAGTTTTTACAGAAACCACCATTTGAACCTATCAGGGAGATTTTGTTAGTTCTTCTAACTCTAAAGGTTGTTTTTTTTTTTTTTGTGGCAATCACCTCTGCAAGAAGGGCATTGGAGTTGGCAGCTCTTTCTTGTAGGGAACAATTTTTGGTTTTACATCAGGATAAGGTGGTGTTATGGCCTCATCTGTCCTTTTTGCCAAAAGTGGTTTCTGCCTTCATTCATTGCTCTGCCTTCATTCTTTCCTAGACCTCAATCGGCAATAAGGATCTTTTTGAGAATGACTGCGCAGATTAGAAAGACTGATTCCTAGTTTAATTTTGCTGGAAGGTCCCAGGAGAGGACAAGCAGCATCCAGATCAACTATTTCTAAGTGGATTCGTCAGATAATCATTCAAGCTTATGGTTTGAAGAGCAAAGTTACACCTTTTCGGGTGAAATCATACTCTACCAGGAGTGTGGGGGCATCTTGGACTATCCGCCACCAGGCATCAGTTGCTCAGGTTTTCTACATGGTCTTCGGTTCTTAATTCACAAGGTTTTACCAGGTGGATGTCAGAGCCACGGAGGATTCTGCCTTTGGCCGCAGTGTTTTACGTACAGCTGAATAGCTCCGTTTGGGATGTTGGTGGTGGTTATTGTGATGTCACTCACCCCTCAAGGTTATTGCTTTGGGACATCCCACATAGTCATAGAATGTCCTCTGTGTCCCGTGATGTACGAGAAAGAAAATTGGATTCTTCCTACATACCATCCATTTCTTGGAGTACATCACAGGACACAAAGGTCATTCCCCTCTTTCTGGATTTCCATTGCTTGCTAAAAAGCTGAATACTTCCTGTATAGGAGGGGTTGTATAGGGGAGGACTTCCTGTTTGATAGGGTGGCCAGTATCCATTCACCTATAGGTGGCATATAGCCTACATAGTCATTATTATGGCCTGCTCTGTGTGTCGTGATGTACTCTAAGGCAGCGTTTCTCAACCTTTTTTCAGTCGAGGCACCATTAAAATTATGGACAATCTCGAGGCACCCTTTAACCTTCTGCACAATCCCAAGGCACCCCATTCTAAAATGTGAAAAAGCTATTCTAATAGTTTTACATAATGCAGCAACATCTACATGCTTAGGACATCCAACGTAAGAGATGATTTATTCTTCCAAAGCAAATATCACTTTGCAAACTGGTACTGACAAGTATTCCAGTGTTTCTCCCTTAGTTTCTGTCCCTCACTCAGCTAATGTAACCCCACTGCTGCTAAGAGGAGCAGGGGAGGGCCAACAATAATTGCTGTGCAGGCACCCGGCATCCTCCTTATCAACTAATGATGTAATTGGTTGTTAGGATGGCGGCAGGTTGTAAAAGTATGCAATGAAAACCTATGGCTTTGTGTAATTAAAAGACAGGCTTGATCCACCTGCTGGCTTGTATACAACGGCAGTTTTTAAGAAAGGCACCCTTGAAAAAGCCTGAAGGCACCCTGGTTGAGAAGGGCTGCTCTCAGAAATGGATTGTACTGGCAAGTATGTAGAAAAAATCCAATTGTCTGTTCCTAGAGGCTAAATAGTGGTGCTCTATGATTCCATGCACTCTATTTTAGGCTAGTAGCGTTTTTCAAGCATCAGCATTTAGGAGCAGAAAAAAAATAGTTTTTGTAGAATTTTTGGGAGTTGTTTTCAGCAGAAAAAAATGCTAAACGCTTCTAAAACGCTACTAAAAACTCTATTCTCAGAGTTTTTTTAACTTAAAAAAAATGATAGCGTGCATGGAGCCTTAAGCTGAACTCTGGGCAGATATAAGACACAAACTAATTCCACCCTTTATTAATGAATACATTCTTCAATGTCAGCAGTATGAGTACCTGAATTTAACTGGGTATCTGCCTCTTGCAGTCCTTGTATAGCGGAGCTCAGACTGGTTGCTGGAAGGGTAGTACGGGGATCCAGTTAGTTGTGCTGCAGTGCAAGGAGTATGCTGATAGGAGGAGACAGCAGAGTAACAGATAGATGAGCTCACCATTCTGCTGCATCTCCTTTCCCTGGAAAGTGTTTTTCAACCTTTTTTCAGTCAAGGTGCCCTATAAAACTATTTTCAGTCTCAAAAGAAATGTCTTTTGACAAGTAAAACAACTATCATGTATTTCATCTATGTATTTAGATATTTTACTGGTGGTTGGCTTTAAAGTGGTTGTAAAGTGGTTTTTTTACCAAGTTGTTTCGAGTCCAATCTTGATCCAGTGATGTGCGCAAGAGCAGCAGCTCTCTCGGCTCTCTCCTCATTGGACAGAGAGGCAGCAGTGCAAGCCATTGGCTTATGGACACACAGAGCCTGCTCGTAAGAGAGCACGCACAAGTGCTCCCATACCAAAAGGATTGCTATGGGGCCATTGGGCAGGGGGAAGGGGCCAGGAAAGCCGGTGGGGGACCCAAGAAGAGGAGGATGGGGGCTGCTCTGTGCAAAACTATTCCACAGAGCAGGTAAGTGTAACATGTTTTTTATTTAAAAAAAACCTCACTTTAATTTCAGGAGGGATCAACAGTGTTTTTAAACCTTTTTTCAGTCAAGGCGCCCTATGAAATTAGTATCAGTATCGAGGTACCCCAGTCTAAAGGCTCACATGTGAGGTTGGAGAATGGTAAAACCACAAGGTTGAGCCACATTTTTATCCAGCCCCCAACTGCTCCCTCTTTAGCTGCTCAGGCAGAGGCTGAGGTTGTACACATGTCACACCCCCGTCTGGTGCTGCCTGCTGAGCATGACCCATTTAGGTGAATGGAACTGTGCTGCAACTGCCCTGCAATCAAATACATTGCATACAGTTGGAGCACAATGGGGATGGCATTTAGGGGATTAAAACAGGCGGTGAGGTGACATATTGCTTCCTTACTGTCTGACAAATGCCTCTGAAAAGCGGTCTGGGTATGGATCACTTTTCAGAGAAGCGGCACTCCTTGCCACTATTGTGAACTGGTCCTAAAACAGTCCTGCTAGCTTAGAAAATCAGTTCTGATCTATAGAATTAGGGATCAGGATTAAAAATGTACAGACGTACATATATACATACATGCATGTAAACATACATACGCACACGCATAAAATCACAAATACACACACATAGCCTTGTTTCCACATGCAAGCTGTACCTGCGCACCCATTGTCAGGTGAATGGTTTGTTTGCACTGCTGCAATGTAGGAGGAGGCAGAGATATCAGGGCTCAGGAAGACGTCTCTTCCACTGCTCTGCTTGTTCTCCTGATCGAGCTCCCAGTGTGCAGATGTAGAATTTGAAGCTCTGCGGGTCTATCTATATAGGGCTGGTAATGGCAGAGTTCTGAACTGTACATTGGAACAAAGCTTGATCTATACCCTTTCTCAGCCAGGATGCCTTGGCACCCCAGGGTGCTGAGGAACCCAAGTTGAAGAAGACTGACCTGAAATAAGAATTTCACTTGTTCCTATGATTGAGGTGTGTTCTGTATTTTGTCTGTAGGTCAAGGCTGGAACCAGAACAGATCCATAAAGTGAAGGCACAGCACACAACAGAGACAACCACCTCTGGGAATACAGAAGGGAAGGAGGAAGGCAAACAAGCCGGAGAAGATAATACAGGTGGAGTAAATGACTAAGCATTCCCCTATAGATGAAATTTTCCATTCACTTGTATTGCATTTTTCATGACCAAAAATGTTTGCTTTAGGTTTTGCATAAAATAAAGATGGATCAGAACCTCTGTTCGGTTTGGTAGGTGCCGTTCTATGCCACCAACCCATGAATCAGTACTTTGTTCAGAAATTCACACAGAAAAATGCTTTCAGAGTGCACTTTCAGAGCAGCGATAAGGTCCTCCTGGAAAACACTTATAGCTTATACAACTTACTTTTAAATGCATGGCAATGTCAGTGCCGAGGTGTAGGTTGTCTTGCTTACAAACCGTGAATTTAACAACTGGGAAAAGTAGAATTAGTATAGCTGTCATTGCAAGCACTGTATTTGTCCCAATCTTGACTTCAGTACCCAGTGAAGGTTCCCTGACCCAGAACAAGCATACGTACATTGATTCTCCTGGTGCCTCTTTGCAACCACTTTCTGTTTATGTACATTCTCCATCAACTGCTGCTAGCGTGAATCATACCCGTGCAATGTGCATTGCCAAGGCCATGTGTAGTTTCCACTAAACAAGTGTAGAACAACAATTAGTGTTCAAGGACAGATAAGTGTTGTCACCCTATAACAGGAAGACAATGACCCTTATGTCAGGGTCATCGGGTATTATTTTAATGAAAGTTGTAGATTTAAAAAGATTGAAAGACTTAAAAGTATATTAAGATGTTAATTTAGTGATTGGGTTTACATACACAAGCACGAACATCCTTGATATTTGTGAAGTCTAGTGGGGGGGCTAAAGCACATGGCTGAACAAAGATCTCTGTGTAAAGCTGCCTATATACTAGCAAGATTTTAAAAATGGTATGAAAATTCTCAGTACATTTGATGACTTAATGAATGTAGTTTTAAGTACTTCAAATTGAATCTGCCTTTAACATTTTTACCATTCTGAACAAAAACCAGTGCTAGAAATTCATTCCCATCCTGCTCCTTTGAATTTTTTTGTCTCTTTGGTGGAAAAAAAATGTTGATTTTTACCTCATGAACAACAAGAAAATCGAACAAACTTTCTTAAAACAAAAAAATGTGAATGAAATTCTACATAAGGTATGGCAAGCTTTACAACACTAGGTAAACCATATTTATTGATGGCAACACTCAAACTGCACTTTCCAAATTAGCTAGTGTACATTATGCTAAAAACATTCATAATTATATGGTTATATGTATAGATTTAATTAATTCCTAGGCATGAAAAGCTGATACAACAAGTTCAGCATCATGAACTAACCATCTTTACATTCCCTTTCCCCCCGGACAGAAAGGACGGTGTCTGACGCTCAGAGCACTTCAGGTCTATGGGATGACAGTCTAGGTGAAGATGAATTGTCCCCAGAGGAGATTCAAATGGTAATTTTATTTCCAGGTCATTTGTTTTCATTTTACATTAATTTCTTAGTACAAACGTAAGGTATGGTATTTTTCTGTGCTTTCACAACACCTTTGGTTTTCTTATATCCAGGTGCAGTCAGATTTTCAAATATAACATTGAAGCTTGTTCTCATGTGAGTGCTGAAATTGGAACATTGAGGGGAATTTATCAAAACTGGAGCAGCTGTGCATGGCAACCAGACAGATTCAATGTTTAATTTCGAAAACTTAACCGAACATGCTGAAAATAGAAGCCTATTGGTTGCCATGCATACAGTGAAGGAAATAAGTATTTGATCCCCTGCTGATTTTGAATGTTTGCCCACTCACAAAGAAATGATCAGTCTAAAAATCGAATGGTAGGTGTATTGTAACACTGAGAGACAGAATAGCAACAGAAAATTCAAAAGAAATGCATGTCTAACAAAGTAAAAAAAAACAAAGATTTCTAAAGCTGTCCAAACATTTAATTCTGGTTCTTGATGAACTGGCTACAATCCACATAGTAGGGGACCCTTTCAGCCCCCTCCTATCCAACTTCCTTGATTGAAAAAAAAGGAGCTGAATGGAAAATAGTTGGCTGAACAGCAGCTGCATCCAATCAGATACAGCTGCTGTTCAGGTATTTTGACAGCCAACAGGGCCAACTTTCAAAATATAATGGCCAAATTGAAAGATTTATCCATTTGCACAATTTACCCTGAATGGAGCAATCTGATTTTTTTTTCTCAGCCTGTGAAAAAATAATCTATGCATATGGACAGCTGACTGATGGACTTAAACATCAGAGGGCAACCAGGGTTATCTGAGAACATGACATAAGAGTGAGTACGGGAGGTGATGAGACATCTGCTGCTCTTCAAACCAGTTGTGATATCCCTAGCAGCTCAGTCAAGGAACACACATAGTACATGCATGGAAACGGGGAGGAATTGGCACTGTTAAGTTAGCACATTTTTGTGTGCGTTAACAGCTTTCAAGAGTCCTAAATGTGCATCATTAGCCCTAGAAAAGTCTTACATGACTACACCTCATGTTACTGGAAATGCCTGATTTTGGCTTTGATTAAGCCAGAACCAAGTTACCCTGTGTGTATGTAGCACAGTGTGTAGGCAGCATCAAGGTAAAATGTAGGGTACCCACATATAAGAAATCAGTGCCAACTGTTCTTGTAGTTTTTGGCCAGATGGTGCATTGACCTTGTGTTTTTTGTTTAAGCTGCCTGTTAGCTGTCTATTCTTGGGAAAGTTATCAATTGGATTGTTTAAAAATCTTGTTCTGATCATTATTTTAGTATTTTAAGCAGCCCCAACATACCCTGCAGATTCATAAACCTAAATCCTTGGCCAGGCCAAATTTCCATCCAGATGGAAGAGGCAGAAACATTGTTTTTCCTGATGAGAGCAGTTGAATCATGGGCATCTATAACCATTTGCCTACTTTAAATTCCTTACGATCGCTGTTATTTTTCCTTTAATCTTTGCAACTATTTCCTGAATCCGAGTGCAGCTGTTATCTGTACAGACACACCAATCCTCAGTTCTGTGCCTATTGTTCCACTACAAAGGATAAAGGTTTGTAAAAGCAGCAGAATTGACTGAGCCTGTCTTTTGTAATATGTGATGCTGGAACAGACAAAGCAGAATAGGAGATGGTTATCTCTCATTTTAATTTGTCGAAAGCTGGAAATATTATAATTTATCTATCTGACCTCCTTCTGGAGTGGTATGGTGCACTGTCTGCCAAATGGATGTTTATTTAGAAACCAGCTTGAACTGTAACTACTATACTCCCCTTGCAGTGGGTTATAACTCTGTGCAGATATGAAATCCTACATTTAGTCTCTACAGATGTTAAAAATGCACTAAGATGATACTTCAACAGTGCTATGCTTCATTTTCTGTAATCTTTCTTTATAAGAAGAGACCATTATCCTACACACCAGCTGAATCCTAATATTGGCTTTCCAGTAGGAGAACCTACTGATTGCTGTGAAAGAGGAGGTGGACTGCAGAAGTGATTGACGCACGCTTTAAAGAAAGCTAGAGGGCATTTTACAGTTTGTCTACCTGCTGTATTATATTTATGTCTGTACTCTCATACAATTTAATGTGGGCATTGGGGGAGAAGAGAGATGGGGGTGCACTGGTTTTTTTGTTGTGTTTTTTTTTTTTTTTTTTAAAGCTGGGGTCCAGCATTAAGGTATCTAAAGCCAATGTTTTTTTCATATAGTGGATGGATAAGGATAAAGTAGGAATTGTTTAGTGCTTTGAACACCTCAGACTTTGGAAGGCATGGTACAGTGCAGCAACTCAAAAATTAAAGAGGAACATCAGTCTTCTTACTGCTGGCCCCACCCCTTACTGGTGCCACCATCTTTGATGGTCCTTGTAGCAATCATTCCCATAGAGATGGACGCGGTTCAACCATTATGGCTCCAATCTCCGTCTTGGGAAAGGATCCTCCATCTTGTACAAACATATCCCCATCATTCTCATTCTTCCTCTCTGTTCAGCCACAATGACATATGGCCTGTATGTTGGCAATGTCACAGGAGGCCAGAGCACAGCAGGAAGCCCCGAGCTATAAAACCCCCAAGGGAGCTGGGGCCTTGCTGTCCAAAGAACTTGTGCAATGTAGCACATCGTAAAAAGATCACCCAAGCCTTCCCCTGAGTTCAAACACATTTCAGAGGAGTAGAGACTAGATAACACTTTTAAAATCCATTTTTCCCCTATGCCTCATATCTTGGAATATGAGAGACTTACATATAAACCAGGCCTATCTTCAGATTGCCCATGAGAAGACAAACAGTTTGATAAGTCACACTCCCTTACTGGAATACCAAGGACAGCAGAAAATTACATCTCTTGAACCCTTCAATATGTATTTCATTCCTCAGATGCGTCTGCATAGTAATCTACCCACGGGTGGAATGTCACTTGTGCATAGGAAAAGTTATGAGCCAAAATATGAACTATGAGAGATTTTGGCTCTAGTTTAGGTCTACGCCCAGACCTTCCCTCCCTAAATGAAGCATTGGTCCTTGGCTTTAGAGACACCCCCTGCTGGGGGACTACAAAAATGGGCTGTCAGGCCTAAGAGAGTTAAGTTGAAGAATTCTCCCTTTTAACATCAGAACCAACTTGGGAGACGTGCCCTTTCGCTCTGAAACCTGATCTGCTTAACCCAAGGCTGATTGGAAAGTACTTTAACCCTTTAACCTCCTTTCTGTTACCTTTTTGCTGTGCTATTGTTCTCTGTATATTTATATATATATATATCGGTTACATCTTTTTTTCTGTAAATATTTTTATTGCACCCTTTTGACCTTTTAGTAATAAATCTTGTTGTTGAACTGTTTCTAAAGCTCCTTAATGCAATTTACGAATTCCTGCCTCTAAAAGAGTGCTACCGTGTTTGTTTAACCCTCTGTATAACCTGTCTGCAGTGACAGTGCTATACAGATGATTATCTCAACCATTATAGTGTTATTGCTGGTATTGCCGAGTTTCCTCTTTCTCTGTACAAAAAAGAGGTGGTGGCAGTGTGAAGGGTTAATTGCGTAATTAAACTGACCCAGTAACAATCGCATTCAGGCTGCTGGTGTTTCAATTGGAGGTCCAGTGAGCTGGAAAATCGTTGTGCAGGGTGCAGCTGGGTGTGGCATTGTTACGCACGTGACATTGCTGTTTCAGATTGGCTAGTCCTTCGGTCACGAGTTTGGTGAGAAGGTCAGGGGTCTGACGCCGCGATTGTCATAGTCCTGCGCATGTGCACATGTGCTGATGCGCTGTGCCCATCCTCGGGAACCTGGCAGAGGCCTGAGGCATATCTGTGCGGGTGCATGAACACGGCATGACTTGGAAGGCATGGAACGTTCTCTTGCGGAACACAATCTTGTACTTTCCTAACCTAATTGTGTTTGGGCATACATGTGATGCACATGTGCAGAGATACTGAAGGCCAGGCAGAGCCCCTCAACACATCTGCTTACATGTAGATCAGGAACAACATAATTCTCGCCCAGACAGGTGGAGGTGCTGCTCTGCAGCAGACAAAAAGAGAAAATAAAAAAAAAAAAATATCCATTTTTAGGGGAAAGAAGGGGCTGGAGACAGATGCAATGTTTTTTGGGGTGCATAGAGATTGTGCGGAAACTTAATATTGCAAAATAGTTATGCAGTTGGGATGGCTAAAAATATATGCATGCATTGTACAGTCTAGAGGGAGTACAATTAGGGGAAGTCAGTAATAGAAAAGGATCAGGGTGTTCTGATAAATCATTGACTTAAAGTGGAATTAAACCTCCAAAAAAAAAATGTTATTAGAAATGGGCCTAGAGCTTTTCGTTATGTGCTAGAATGCACAACACATTGGTACATTATGAGAAACTTACCTTGCAAGCAATCCCCTCCAGTGCTGGTGTCAGTGCTCCTGTTTGTTGAGGCTGCTTCCATCTTCTCCCAGTCTTCTTCCCGTTGGATTCAGACTCACAGCTACTTGATGATAGCTTAAAAAAAAAAAAAAAAGAGGAGGACCTTGGCTATGAGGAGAGATTATCTGAATTGAATTTATTATCCCTTGAAAAAGAGGTGTTTAGGATGGGATTAGATCACAATGTACATAAATACATAAATTATCCATACAGTGAACTTGGTGAAAAGTTATTAACTTTAAAGGTATTGTACACATTCAAATTTTTTGTTGTTTTAACTAAGTATTAGTGTAGTTATATTCCCTTTGTTGTTTGCCTTACCTTGTAATGATGTTGTGGCCCAAAAAATGATCTAGAGTAAACCATCAGCGGCAGTATCACTAACATATACTGTACAAGGAAACAAACATAAATACTCTAAAACATGATTACAGGCATATAAAACCAATGGTGAATAAATATCTAGTTGCACCTGAAAAGCATATACAGTTGTGGCCAAAATTATTCAACCCCCAATGCTGTAAAGGGGTTTTAGGGACTA